CCACTGTATTCTGCTCTGGTCAGACCTCACCTGGAGTACTGTGTCCAGTTCTGGGCACCACAATTCAAGAAGGACACTGACAAACTGGAACGTGTCCAGAGGAGGGCAACCAAAATGATCAAAGGCCTGGAAACGATGCCTTATGAGGAACGGCTATGGGAGCTGGGCATGTTTAGCCTGGAGAAGAGGAGGTTAAGGGGTGATATGATAGCCATGTTCAAATATATAAAGGGATGTCACATAGAGGAGGGAGAAAGGTTGTTTTCTGCTGCTCCAGAGAAGCGGACACGGAGCAATGGATCCAAACTACAAGAAAGAAGATTCCACCTAAACATTAGGAAGAACTTCCTGACAGTAAGAGCTGTTCGACAGTGGAATTTGCTGCCAAGGAGTGTGGTGGAGTCTCCTTCTTTGGAGGTCTTTAAGCAGAGGCTTGACAACCATATGTCAGGAGTGCTCTGATGGTGTTTCCTGCTTGGCAGGGGGTTGGACTCGATGGCCCTTGTGGTCTCTTCCAACTCTATGATTCTATGATTCTATGATTCTTTGAACTCGGGGAAATCCACAGCGAGAGGAGAAGGAACAGAGCAGCACACGGCTGGAGAAGAAGAGCCTTTGGAGAGTTAATCACCAGACCTGATGCCTTCAAGAGGGTCTGACTTGGTGATGTTTGAAAAGCATAACCCAGGAACATAGGAAGCTGCCTTACCCTAGTCAAGCCCTTGGTCCTTAGAGCTCAGTATTGCCCACCCCACATAAGAGCCAGTTCCTGGGGGCTGTGGGAGCTTTGGCCCCCACAAATGGTGTGTGTGCACTGTGTCATGTGATCAATTCTGCAGGGCGGGGCTTACCTGGGCCCCCACAATATTCTATTCAACTGCAGCCCAACTGCAGACTCTCCAAGTGTGCCTGTTTTCCAGGGACATTCCCAGATTTACTGAAAGCCATCCTGGTTTCTGATTTGAGCCCGGAATGTCCCACTTTTCCTTAGGATAAATGTTGGAGGGTCTGGAGTTATGCAGCCCCCGAGCCAAGGAGATAAGTAACAATACCAACTTTAGAAGACATTTGAAGGCAGCCCTGTTTAGGGAAGGTTTTTTAAAATGTTTTATTGTGTTTTTATATATGTCAGAAGTCTCCCAGAGGTGCATACTGATGCTTGGCTGGTTTTGCCATTGTCAGATGTCTATCGAATACAGGGGTCCTCAAACTTTTTAAACAGGGGGCCAGTTCACTGTCCCTCAGACACTGATGAGGGCCGGACTATAGTTTTTTGGGGGAAATGAACGAATTTCTATGCACACTGCACATATTTTATTTGTAGTGCACAAAAAACAGGGGGGAAATACAATACAGTCATACCTCAGGTTGTGAATGCTGTGGTTTACGTTTTTTCAGGTTGTGTCCCGCGGCAACCCGGAAGTACCGGAAAGGGTTACTCCTGGGTTTCGCTGCTCGCGCATACACAGACGCACAAAATGACATCATGCGCAGAAGTGGCGAATTGCAACCCGCGCGTGTGCAGACGTGCAGACGCGGGTTGCATTCCATTCAGGTTGCTCCAGAACGGATCCCGTTTGCAACCAGAGGTTATAAGTATTTCAGTGGGAAGTATGGGCCTGCTTTTGGCTAATGAGATGGTCAATATCCGGTTCCATATTTGTCACTGCTAGTCGTAGCAATTGATGCAAGTGTTCACCCAAGAGCTTCCCTTGCACCAGGTTGGGAGCATCAGGAAATCAGGGTGCCGGTGGCAGCGCTGGCAATTAGAGATGCGGGCAGGAGCCCCGCAAACACCGCCCAGCCAGGCGCCCACATGCAACCGCGGAGGAAACGCAGTGCCTCTATTAAGAGAACCTGGAGACACGCAGCCCGCCCCCCCCCCGCCTGCTCACCCTGTCCCTCACCGGGCGGGCTGGGTTCAGAACCCTGGCGGGCCGGATTTGGCCCATGGGCCATAGTTTGAGGACCCCTGATATAATAGATCATGGGTAATCAAACTAAGGCCCGGGGGCCAGATCCGGCCCAATCACCTTCTAAATCCGGCCCGCAGATGGTCCAAGAATCAGTGTGGTTTTACGTGAGTAGAATGTGTGCTTTTATTTAAAATGTATCTCTGCGTTATTTGTGGGGCATAGGAATTTGTTCATATTTTTTTTCAAAATATAGTCCGGCCCCCACAAGATCTGAGGGACAGTGGACCGGCCCCCTGCTGAAAAAGTTTGCTGACCCCTGTAATAGATCTTTCACTTCCTGCCTGAAATAACACTCTGCTCCAACCACCAGTTGCTTTGGGACTGCAGCCCCAGAGGCACTCAAGATCTAGCCCTAACCATCAGCCAGAGGACAGGGAGATGTTGGTTATGTGTCCATGTGTGAGTTTTATAGGCTGCCTTGAGAATCTTGTGTCTGAAAGGTGTGGGGTAGATTTTCAGAATAAATAAGTGAAAGGTCCTGTGCCTGAGTCACATTTTACACCCATGCCATGCATTTGAAGCACTCTTATTCTACCCTAGGAATCATTCCCCACCCCACAAAGGTTCCTGGAAACTCCCAGATGCCAAGAGTTGTTAGGAGAGCCTTAACGAAGGACAGTTTGCAGGATTCTTTGTGGAGGAAGACATGACTCTTAAAGTGGACTGAGAGTGCTTTCAATCTATAGAGTGGATGTGGCCTTAGAGTTTGGCTTAGGGAGGATGACAAAGTTTTGAGAAACTTTCTGAGTTCTTGTCCATCAATGTTCCACCCTGTGTTTGTAATTCTTAGGTTTCTAAGAATTCAACATCAGGAGAAACTGAGCTTCCAGACAGAGACAAAAATGTTGCCTTTCCAGTGTCAACAAATAGCCATTAAATCCTTTGCCCGTGGGCTGGGAATGTTAAGATGTGAATGTAAAAGAAATCAAAGAGAGAGTGGCAAAGGAAATAAAAAGCAGGAGATGCCTACACAGTTTATGCCCACATGTTGGAAATTCTGATGCCTCCACTCCTGTTCATGGGAGGAGGAAGGAGATGAATCTCTACAGAGGACTGTCTGGGTTGTTGGGCTCTTTAGCAAAAGTTTCAGTAGGGAAACAAAAAGCTTGATTGAGAAAATAAAGTCTGCTCGCTGCGAAATACTATTTACTTGCAAATGTTCTATAGAAATGTGGAAAACACAAGCAGTAAAATAAGATGTAGGAGTTAAAACTAGAGCAGGTGCTCAGGCTGCTTAGGAACATCGGACGCTGTCTTATACCAGGTCAGACCAATCGTCTATCTTGTTCAGTATAGTCTGCTCTGGCCGGCAGCTGAAGATGCCAGGGATGGGATCAAGCACCTAGATTCTCTGCCACTGAGCTAAGGCACTGCCAGACCATTGCTATTGCCAGGTGCCATTTAATCTCATAATAGTAAATTATAGTTGACTGGGAGGTCTTGCGCAACAAACCCACTTCCCCCAAAGTTTGGGATGTTTGCAATAAGGAGAGTGATGGGGAAAATGTGCTGGGAAGTATGAGATCATGCTTGCTTTGATGCAAGGTCTTCTAACCTCCCCACAAAAACATCAAGCTAAAAGGTAAAGGTACCCCTGCCCATACAGGCCAGTCTTGACAGACTCTAGGGTTGTGCGTCCATCTCACTCAAGAGGCCGAGGGCCAGCGCTGTCCGAAGACACTTCCGGGTCACGTGGCCAGCGTGACAAGCTGCATCTGGCGAGCCAGCGCAGCACACGGAAACGCCGTTTACCTTCCCGCCAGTAAGCGGTCCCTATTTATCTACTTGCACTCGGTGCTTTCGAACTGCTAGGTTGGCAGGCGCTGGGACCGAGCAATGGGAGCGCACCCCGCCATGGGGATTCGAACCGCAACCTTTCGATCGGCAAGCCCTAGGCGCTGGGGCTTTTACCCACAGCGCCACCCGCGTCCCATACCCGGGAAGTATGAGATCATGCTTGCTTTGATGCAAGGTCTTCTAACCTCCCCACAAAAACATCAAGCTAAGTGCTCCTTAAATAGTCAATGCCATCTAATCTACCCACAAATCAGGAAGAATGCTCAGTCAGATTAGGAACATTTGGAAGAGCCCCTAGCCTGAAAGCCACCCACTGCAATGTTACTGGAGCATTCCATTTCAGGCTGGGTTCTGTGTGCAGATTATTCCACTTGGGAGGGAGAAGGGAGGCTGGGCCCAGACAAATGGCAGAGACAACTGGCCTGCAAGGGAGATTAGGCTGAATTCTCGTCGCCAGCATTCAGCCCTGCTCAAACCTGGGCCCTGGGGCCTCCTCAGAAGAAGAGTAGGAGGAGTTCTCCAAAGCGGGTACTCGGCCTGGCGCAGCCTGAGGTGAGCCACTCTGGACCCTCTTCCCAGTCGCTCCCTTCCCTCCCTTTTATGGCTGCCCTCCGCCCCCTCACCTCCCTCCCTTTGCTCTTCCGCTCCGCCAAATGAAGGCAGAGAGGAGACCCAGGTCTGCTGCCACCATGGGAAAGTGGGGAGAGGAGTCCTGGCTGTGAGTGAGTGAAGAGAGCGGGGGCCCCAGGGACACCCCTTCACCAACTGCTGTTGCCATCCCTGCACGCCCACACTGCCAGGGGCTCAGAGGAGCTGCTGGATTAGACTTCTGCAGCTGAGGAGCAGGTGTCTCCACACCAGCCACAGATTCCTGGCTGATTCTCTCTTCTTCTTTTTGAAATAATTTTTATTTGATTTTACAAGTGTAAAGTTATAACAGTACCAAATACATAACCATATTTAGAGATTTATCTGAAACTCCAAACTTCCCACCATCTCCTCCATGGGTTCTATTGTCAACATTTTCAAGTGTGTATTATTTCATAATCCATCTTTTGTATCCCTCCATATTGTCCATAATGTTTATTACATTACAAATGTTGTTAAAATCCTGCTAATGTTTTCATCTGCTTACAGTGGTCTCATAAATAAACTACAAATTTCCCCCATTCTTTCTTGAAGTTTTTGTCATCTTGGTTCCTGAGCTTTCCGGTCCGCTTTGCCATTTCAGCCTAGTCCAACAGCTTGGTTTGCCATTCCTCTCTGGTAGGGCCTTTGTCTTCTTTCCATCTCTGGGCCAGTGGATTCCTGGCTGACTCTCAGATCAACCACCACCACCCCGCCCGCCATCATGCTCAGGGCACAGGAGCAGAGGGGCTGGTGGACCAAATCAGAAGATCTGGCTGCCCCTGGAGTACCTGCTTAGCTGCCAGTGAAGCTTGGAGGAGAGGGAAGCACCTGCAAGGATCAGGGACTGGCTGAGACCTGGAAGATGTGGAGCCTGCAGTGGAAGATCTCTGCCTGAGCTGCTCCATTGCTGGACCCACAGCTCCCTACCGGGGCTCCCTGCTCCACGGTATTTCTGAATCAGGGAAACGAAGGGGTTGTTTTCCATGCGCAGGGAATTTTCGTGGGGAGGGGTTTCAGATATGTGCCCTTTCACCCTTCCTGCTGAATTGTTCTCTGTCAGGGGCTAAAAATTCACATTGGCCTGGAAGAGTTCGGAAGTTCAAGCCCATGTTGTTCATTTCTCCTTGGCTGGAACCGCCTGGAAGGGGCAGCCCTGTGCTCCAAGCTTTGATGCTTCAGACTGCGGCTGCCGGCGCGGAGCAGGCAGAACCTTTTGAAGTTTTGCCTGGACAGAAAACGTTTCATTATGCCACCCACTAATGATCGGCTTATTTTGCAGATTTGAATTCCTGAGAATGGTTCCCTTCCAATTTTTTTAATGCCCCTGTCAAGGAAGAGTGTTCATCTGCGCAAGGTTTTGTACTCCAGTTCTTAATTATGCCTGTGAACTGAAATGATTGCTCAACCAAATGCATTTTCTTTTTCTTTAACACACGCCAGTTGCCCTGGTATGTTCTTGTGACGCAGGGCCAAAGCTGGCAGTGGCCAGAGAGAAACTACCAGAGGGCAAGACTGCCAGGCAAGGGGGAGTGGGACCCCCAGCAATCTTAGTCCTCTCTCTCTGTCTCATCCCCTAAAAACTGCAGTTTCTTTGCCCTGTCTTTGGAGATGTTGGGCAAAAATGTATGTGCCGTGGCTTTGTTGGAGCGCCCCTTAAGCAACAAGAGGCATTCCAAGAGAGAATCATAGAATTGTCGAGTTTGAAGAGGCCCTGAGGATCACCTGGTCCACCCCCTGCAATGCAGGAATAGGCAGCTGTCCCTTGTGGGGATGGAACCGGCAACCTTGGCGTTATCTGCACCAAGCTCTAACCAGCTGAACTATCCAAGATAGAAGGTTTGATGGAATCTGCTTTTTCTTCTTTACATATATATCAAGCGTGTGTGTAGTTTTTTCTTTCCTGCCAGCACTTAAGAGCCAGTGGGAAGGGAGGTATATTACAGCTCAGAAATCTGTGGAATATTGTTAAATGTACTTGTTAAAGTATGGAAATCAATATACAATGATATTTTCTTTTTTAAAAAAATGATATATATTGAAAATTTAAAATTACAGAAAAAAATGAGAAAGAAAATAGAGAAAAAAGGAATTAAACAATACCAGTCAATAAAAAGAAAAAAGAAAACAAAACACACAATACATCAAAAACAAAAACAAAAGCAAAAAAATTAAAAACAAATCCAATATTCCCATATCTTTATCTTTCATTAACTTGTTTCATCGACCTCCTCACACCTCCCTTTTTTGTATTCTAGTTATTGATTATTTCAGCAAATCCTTTCCATCTTTCACTACATTCTGTCATTTAATTGTCTTAATTTATTTTAACCTTATCTTACCATAAAAAGCCCTAAAACTTAAAACTTATTTGTACATAACTCCTTATAGCATTTCTACTAAAGCCAAATAGTTTCATTCCAACATTTTTCTAACACTCATTAATTTTACAATATTTCTCTAAATAAATTTTTAAACTTTCTTCCAACCGTCTCTTCTCCCTGGTCTCGGGTTCTGTCAGTCCTTTCTATCCATTCCATCTAGTCCATCAACCTGGTGATCTTCTGTCCGAGGCTCTTAACTCTTTTCCATGTCCCTTCTGCAGATCTTCTTCATATTTATACCTGCACTTTACTTTGTCTTCTGCTGTTCTTGTTCTTAATTTCCTTCCTTTGTCACTGAGGAGTAGATCTCGGGGAGACTTCAACCTAACAATGTCTTTATCCCTTCTCAACAGGTCAGCCCATTCTCCATGGTCAGCACTAAAATCCAAAAGATATTTCAAAGCATGTTTCAAAGTCCCTCCAAAGTTAAAGGCCCCCACAACTCCATTCTCCCCCTGGCCCAAAACCAGATCCCAAAAGCCGGAACATCCCTGCATAAGGGGATCTATCCAACTTCCCATCTCCAATCCAGACAGGACTCCATCTCTCCAAGTCTGACTCACTCCAGATTTGGTCATCAGAAACAACAGCTTATGTTCCTGCAAGGCCACCACTCTCTCCACTTGTATTACTTGAGGTTCAACAACAACCTCCTCCTTTGTCTTCTCCACAGCTTGCCCTGTCAAAGCAAATTCCTGGGTCAGTTCCTGAGAAGTTTCTGTATAGGTGTTCACTTTTTGTCCCCCATCAGTCATTTTTGTCCAAAATTATCAATTGCAGTAGTCATCAAATCCATCTTCTCATGAAGCTGTTCCAATAAAGCACTTGTCTTGCAAAAAGCAATCACTAAGGCTTCTTCTGTCCACATTCTTGTCCAAGGTCAATGTCTAGTTCTCACGATCTTTAATCTCTACAGCTGGAGAGTTCCCCAGCTCCACTCCAGCAACAGTTTCAAAAGCTCCCTCTAGGGGAAACAATTTCTATTTGTATCTGTCCTTTTAAAAGCAGATCCAGCAACAAAATTACTTTCGTTTTTCAAATATTTTGCTCCTTTTAAGTGCAAAAGGAAACATTGGAATCAATATGTTTCTCTTATTTAACTATCTGTCAACATACGTTTTATTCACAGTCAATGAACTTTCCCAAAACATCTGTCTTCCTGGCAGCCCGTTCCCAGGTTCAAAACGGTGGAAATTTATCTTTCTTTACTCTCTCTCCTGCAGGCTTGAACAATCTAAGATTTCCCCCCTCTTCTCCTGCTTCCAAGCGGGGTTTAGTAGTTTTAGCCGATGGAGATTTAATCCTTTACAAAAGACTTTCCAGACTTTAGCTTGCAATGTCTTTGCTTCAATCTATTTACAAAAGCAGAAGGCGGACTTCCTGTTTAGAACCTTCCCACTTCGGTGCCAAATTAAGATGTTTAATAATCCAATTTTCCATTCTACTCACGGGTAGTTGTTTAAAGTCCAATTGTCCACAGGAAAAAGTCAGCGCTCTCCGGCAACAGCAATGCGGCTTCACTCCGTGAAAAAAGCAGTCGATTCGAAGCACCGCGCCGCTCACCCCATGTCGCTCCGGATCCCCGAGACCGGGTTTCCCCGCGAGTAGGGGAGGCGCAAAAGGTGTCAGCCGAATCCCACGTCCACAGGCTTCTCCCGCCTGTGGTTTTTGATGGGTCTCCGCCTCGCCGTGGTGGTCCAGACCCTGATTTCCACGAAGCGGATTCCTCCCGATCAGAGGAAATCCGCCATTGCCGGAGGCACTAACCCAGAAGTCCAATATACAATGATAATAGCTTTTTATCTGTGACTGGATTGTTTGTTTGTAGTTGTGAATTATTATTGTTATCTCAAAACAATCAAAAATATTGCAACACAAACAAACAAACAAACAAACCCAAACCCTTTCTTTCTTGCACAGAAACTGCCTTTGTCACGCTTCTCTTTCTCAGTTAAGCGTGCATGTGCATCCACACACACACAAAGGCACACACAGGCACACACCTTTGCTCCTTCCCTTTAGCTGGGGTGGGGAAAATCACATTTTCCATTCAAAATATGCCAGGTATATCTCCTACTATTTCCTAGCCAGCATGAACCACGAGCATTCTGTGGAGGAATCCCAAAGGTGTCCCAGTATTGCTTCTTGGTAAACATGTTAAGTGATATTCCTCTCCACAGCAATGAGTTGGCAAGTCTTGTAACAATATATGCATACAGGATGGCATCCCTTGTTAAAACCTCTCCTGGGTAAGATTATAAGATACCGTATTTTTTGCTCCATAAGACACACTTTTTTCCTCTTAAAATCTAAGGGGAAATGTCTGTGCGTCTCATGGAACAAATGTGTGATCCCTGGGGCAGGGGGGGGCGGGCTTCCCCCTCCAGCCCCACAAGCTGCTGAGCAGCTCTGGGTAGCCCGCAAAGCCTCTGCAGGGCAGCGGGGAGCCTTCACCCCACTGCCCTGAGGCTTCGCGCGGCTATCCCTGGCTTTTGCGGGAGGTGGGGGAAGGGACAGAGTGAGGCTCTCTCACTTCCCCCACCCCTGCAAAAGCTCCCAAGAGCCGCATATTTTTTTTCTTGAATTCCCCACCCCCAAAAAAGTAGGTGCGCCTTATGGAGCGAAAAATACGGTAACTCATGATCTGCTCAAGAGAGGCATAGGGATAGTGCTGCAAATGTTCACTGAAAGGGCCCGGGAAAGTAGACAGGCTCTATGCCAGAAAGGAGCTTCCTCCGACTTCTTCTCTGAAACAATTGCCAAAACCATTTTATTTAGAGTTGGTTTAATGATTTATTTGTTTATTGTCTATTCCTGTTTGCTTTATTTATGCAGTGTGTATAAAATTGTCTTGCTATGGCTTGGGTTAGTTTTCAACAAATAGATTGATTTTTTCTTTTATCATATTATCTGAAAAACAATCAATAATGCTTCATTCGGATGAGCTTTGATTCCTTTGCAAGATGCAGTTGTAATACCAATAGGTTAAAGGAACAATATTAAATTTCACACACACACAAGTGAAGCAGCTTTGTGGAGTGGCAGAGCTACTACTGCATCCACAGCCCTGCCGCTCACGGTAGAAGGGGTGGAGGGAAACAAACCGGTCCTGGATTGGGCCTCATGCTCTTATGCTCTTATGGCAGTGATACTGGCTCAAGAGCCTGTGAATCCCAGGCCGGCTCAGCCCTCCGATCAGAACACCCAGTTCCAGGGTTTTCTTCCCGCCGGCACATTTGGAGGGCACAAGGGGGAGGTAAGTTTGGACAGGAGAACTGGGAGGAGGGACAATTTAACACCCACTCCAGCCAGGGGTGAAAAAGGTCCCCTGGACAGTTAGGTCCAGTCAAAGGCAACTATGGGGTTGTGGCACTCATCTCGCTTTCAGTCTGAGGGAGCAGGTGTTTGTCCACAGACATCTTTCCGGATCATGTGACCAGCATGACTAAACCGCTTCTGGTGCAATGGAACACCGTGACAGAAACCAGAGCGCACGGAAACACCATTTACCTTCCCACCACAGCGGTACCTATTTATCTACTTGCGCTCGTGTGCTTTTGAACTGCTAGGTTGGCAGGAGCAGGGACAGAGCAATGGGAACTCACTCCGTAGCGGGGATTCAAACTGCCAACCTTCTAATCGGCAAGCCCAAGAGGCTCAGTGGTTTAGACCATAACACCACCCGGAGGGGGCTCGAGGGCTCTGCCCCTCTGTTTTCAAACTGGTGTCTTTGGGAAAGCTGACAGGAGCTGCAAAGTGTCTGGTTCAGAATGAATCTTCCCTAAGGGAGGAGAGTGAACCATTTAGGAAAGCCCAAATGGGAGCAGGTCGAGCCAGGTAAGAAAAGTGCTGGGGGACATGACAGCAACTCTAAGAGGCTAATGTGCTGTAAAGCCTATGTGCCATACACCCTGCCCAGGCTTGCATCCTGTGGAGGTCACCTCAGTGCTGCTAACTTCACCCCCAAGGCTCTTGTACCAGTCCGCTGTTTTATTTGATTTGTTGTGTTGTGTTTCATGATGGGCGTAAAGCCGAATAAACATTTTGGAGTTCACCCCCAAGGCACACTCCATTGTCTCTCGTGACAGATGGATGCCACAAGATTTGGAGAGAAACACAGTCTCTAGGTGTGCTAGACGATAGAAGTCTCTGAGCCAAGATGGGTGAGCAGGGTGCTTGGTGGAGTATTGGAGGTGGTACAGCTCTGAATACCAGTTGCTAGTGAGCCAAGGTTAAGGAGTGGGATGTTGGGCATGATGCTGGCCCAGATGAGCCTTTGGTGTGGTCCAAAGAAACTTAAAAGTAGTGAAGATGTTTGTGTTTCATCTTCCTCAGCAACATGGAAAAATTAGGTTTCCAAACAGCTTTACAAGCCAAAGTGGTTGTCCTTAGAATGCTGAGGATAGAGAAGATTCTGCATGCAAAGCAGGTTGAAAAGCAGGCAGGCAATGGATGCATTAAGCTCCCAGTTAAGGCGTGGGAAGCAGCAGACTATTCCATATACATCACCAGAACTTCTCTCTTGCATCGAGTGACTCAGGACTGGATGTTTGTTTTCACTGCCTTCAGTG